TAAATAAGCCAATTCACTTTCCCAATTCATTTTCCATTTTCCTTTTTTGGAAGACAAATGACATACTTTGTTTCCCAGTAACTACTGAGCTAGTTCAGCCTTCAGTGGTCTGTTTTGGAAGGGCTACCACTTTGAGATACTTATTTTCTATTTGCAGTTTTGCAAGCCTCTGGCTTTCCATAAACCTTCCCTCACATTCCTCAGCAGCTTGATCTGTTAGCACAGGAAAATGATTAGAGAGAGTTATGTTTTCTTTGTTTGAATTCTTATGACAAAATGAGATAACAATATTATTCTGTGTTAGTTTTAACCAGGGCACATTGTGATTTAAAGCCTAGCCCAGATTTTTAATATCAGAGATCAGCTCCTACACTTATGAGGTAAGCTTGTAAACAGCTGCTCAGCTGGGACAAGTCTGAACTGAAACCTAGGCAGCCTGGCAGGTCCATGATATGCGAGTTAGCTCATTTTCCCTTGGGAGGCCAGGAAAATAACATAAGTATGAATGGACAGCAGGCTAGTAAAACTTTTTTTTAACAAACTAGTAACTTCTGTGGATATAATTACTGGTGTAGGAACCCCGTGTTGGTGCACTCCAACTCCCATCAGCCATAGCCACTTGCAATGGTCAGGGAATGATAGACACTGGAACCCAACACTATTTCGATAGCCACAGATTCCCCACACCTGGATTATTTGAAATGCTCAAGGGAAAGGGGCAAGTTCATGGAAGAAGGACCACAGCTTTAACACCAGCGATGACGACTATACAGGATTTCCTATGCCCTGATGCCAGGTGCTTGAGAACACCAGTAGCCGGGAAGTAAGAGCAGAGTAGAGCTATTGGCTTGGTAGGCTGCTTTCCTGATACATTTATTTGGCTTCTGCAAAAAACAAACAAACATGCTGGACCAGCTGAGCCTTCAGTCTCATCCATCCAGCTCATTCTCACATTCAAGATCAGCTTTCTTGATGTTTAGGACTAGAACTTACATCAACTCCAGCCAATATGCCCAAGTGTTGGTGGGGGTTATGGCCGAAAACATCTGGAAAGCACCATGTTGGTGGGAAAGGCTGGTATAGACCAAATAAGACATAATGCAAAGCATCTAAGGAGTGCCATCCAACATATGTTTAAACAGAAAAAAGTCCTATAACTCCAGCATTACCCAGCATGCACTGGAGCATACATGCAGCGATGGTTATGCAAAAGCTCATTGACTTTACAAAAATTATTCCCATCACAGATGCTCTTATTTTTAATAAGGTGCACAAGAAAGAGATTTGGATCATGTATCACAGTGTGGAAGGGGGAAGGTAACTTGTGTCAGGGAAGTGCTTATCTTGAGCTCTTAAAATTACCTTCCTCAAAGTGATTTAGAGCACAATCCTATGCATGTTTAGACAGAAAAGTTTTCTACAACTCACAGCATGTCCCAGCTAGCATGGAGAGCTGTGGAGATTTTTTGTTTTAAACATGTATGTTAAGTCAAACGTTTTGTTTTCAGCCCGTGTCTACTACCCAGTTGCAATATGATAATAGAGGTCTATGTTATATAGCAGCTGTAAAACCTAATACTTTGAATACTCAAAACATATTACAAAAATGGCAAAAATTGTAATGGTAAAATGATATCTGATTTACAAGCCATGTGGCACTATAATGGTTAGGAATCTGCTTTCTATGGAGTCACACCCTTGCTTCATCTAGGTCACGATTGTCAACAATGACAGCAGCAGCTGTCTAAGGTTTCAGGCAGAAATTTTTCTAGCCCAGCCTGGAAAAACTAGCCAATGAATCTGGAACCTTCCACTGCAAAGCATGTGTTCTAGCACTGAGTTACTGCCCCTTCCCTTAAAGTGTTGGACTTGGACTGGGTAACTCAGGTCCAAATCCCCACTCAGTCATGAAGCTCCAGGGCTAATCCTGGGATAGTCATCCTCTCGCCCTAACCTATTTTATAGGACTGCTGTGAGAGAGTGCCAGCAGCTGGGAGTGTCCTTATCTGTTTCAAACAACAGACAGTCTTTTGCAAAAATGCTCCTTGTTTCCCATTTACAGCTAACAAACTATAGCCACAAGAAGGTGAGTCTCTGTGCATGAACAAAATGATTTGAAGAACCGCATCTAGAAACTCCTTCTGAGAACCCTCTTTTCAGTAACCCTGGGCCCCACGCTTCTGGGTGTGTCCCCTGGCTCCCTGCTGCGTAGCCCTTCTAGCCTCCTAGCCTGGCTCCACATCATGGGGGCAGGGACTGGACTGGGCTTGTCTTCCTCTTCTCCTTGTCCCCTCCCTTCACTGCCAAACCTTGTTTGTACCCATGCCCTGCCTGAATACCTGGGGCCGGTGGCCTTGAGATACTCCCCCCTCCCCCTGCCAATTCCATTTCCGCCTTCCCCACTTCCCAGCCCTCACAGTTTTCATCTGTATAGTCAGTGCAACCCTGACCCTGGAAAGTGTTCCCCAAATAACTGCCTCTTTCATTCCTGTGTGTGTGTGAGAGAGAGGGGGGGGTGGGCGGGCAGGGGGAGAATAAGCATTCCACTGTGACCTCAATGGAGGAAAAGCAGGGTACAAGCATAAGAATTAAATTAGAGGAAGAAATTAGATCTGACTCAGTGAGGACTCACTGGGCAGGTTTGGGCAAATCATTTTCAACAATGGCTCAGGTTGTCATGTCAAAGGATTCCACTACTGGCAATTACACACAAATTATCCTGGCTTACAATGAGTTTCAGAAGATGACAGAAGATATTTCTAGCTTAAACATGACACAAGGGGCTACAATTCCACTACTAAAAAAGGCGATCATTGGATTTTTTCTGAGTTGCTTTTTTCGCAGACTTCATTTTGTCTAGTTTTCCCACCCACATCATACTAGCAGTCTTTGTGCAGCTCTATCCTATCCATGGCAATGATAAACGAAGTCATTTACTTCTCTCAGAATTACTCTCAAGCATATAAGGTGATCACAGCCTAAGGCTGCAATCCTGAACCGATGTTCCTTGCGTTGGAATAATTGCACTAAACAGAGAAGTGCTCAACTTGAAATCAAGGTTGGCAAAGCAAAGACCAAAAAGAACACCTCTCTCCCTGCAAAAAAAAAGCCACTGTGTTTTTCCAGGTCCTGCTTGATCAGAAGTGTTCCACCCGCCTCCTTCCACACAGGCACATCTGCAGATTCACTTGTTAATGAGTGATAAATTGCCTTCTATTCCTTTCAACTCTCGTAGAGTCCGTCAAGGAGGTGTGGCACATTTCGAGCTCTTCTGCCATTCCCCAGCCCCTCTTAATAAACAGGAATGGCCGGATGCTGGGACAAACCCCCAGTCCTGTGTGGCAGAGCCCCACTGTTGCCTTCGGGATGCTGATGTTTGAACACAAACACATTCTCCCTGAAATCAGGCAGACGCAGCCGGAGCAAAAGGAAAGCATCTTCAAAGCACCCAGCTGATGGAAAGGAAGCCGAGGAGGGTCTCTGGCGCCCACCGCTCAGCCTGGTCCTTCCACCTCTTCCCTGTGCACGGGCATTGGTTGCCTACACGGCAGTCGCTGCCTGATGGCGAGTTCCATGAATGGAACGGAGAGTTGTTTAAAACACCTAGCGGTGGGAGGCTTTCTCCGGGCTGCAGCTTTCATTACGGCGTTGCCTTGCTGCACTGCAGAGGCGCCATCTTCTCGCTCTGAATCTTCAGTCCAATCCCATGGCCGTCCATCTGGCCCCTAAGCACCCAGTCTAAAGGAAAGCCCCTTCGTACGCGGGGCAACCGATACACCCAGAGGAGGAGGAGATCCCCGCCTGCAAGATGTCTGTGGGTGAGAGGACGTTCCTCCACCCCACTCTAGAGACTACCTATTGTATTGCTAGTCCTCCTGCGCTGTTCCTCCTCTCCGCACTCCACACAAGCAAAGTATGCAAGCCAGCCTCGCATGGGCAAGACGATCTCATGAGGGAGGGAAGCAGAGACCGCCCCCGCCCAACACAGCAGAGCCTCTTTCTCGCCCTCCAAGAAACCGACGCCTGTGAGGGTCGAGCAGACAGCTCCCTTTGGGGGATGGGAGATGCAAGCTCCAGCTTTCCTTTCAAGAAAGCAGAGGGGGCTCGACGGGGCGGGAGGGGGATGGTTCCGCAGGAGCCGCAGCGCACGGAGCTCCACGGTTCAAGTGACCGGAGCCAGAGGCACCTGATCCAAGAACTTACTCCCCTCCCTCCTCCTCCTAGCCGGTTAGGGGGATCGCTGGGCGGGCGATCCGCCGGCGAGCGCCTCCTTGCTTGTTTTCCGCACCGGAGTGCGGAGGAGGACCCGGGCGAAGCAACATGCACGCCCTTCGCGACGGCAGGATCGGGCCTCTCTGCTCCTGTCCCAGCCCCTCCGGTGGGTCTCCCCGCCGCCCCTCGGCTTCCACCCCCAGATCGCTCCCGCCGCGGACAACACCGACCAGGCAACAAAAGCCGCCCGGAGGCGGAGACGTACGTCGCCCGCAACAGCTAAACACAGACCGCGCTGATCGCGCCAAGTTGGCGCACCTCAAGGCAGGAAGGATGGATGGCTGGGAGAAGGAAGGAAAGGGCGGCATCGGCCGCTCGCCCCCGCTCCCTCGCTCCCTCCCTCCCACGCCGGAGCCTGTCCGCTTCCGAAAGGCAACCTAGGAAAGCTTCTCATCCCCGCCCCGACCCCGCAAAGCCGGAGCTCGCCCGCCTCCAAGGCGCCCCCGCGACAGGAGCGCAGGATGCAGGCTCCGCAAGCAGCCCGAAGTCGGACGCTCGTCCCACCCCATCCATCCGCCCACCCCTCCAGAAAGGTCCCATTGTTCGGGCAGAGCGTCGGTTTCCGACGAGGCGCGGACCCGAGCGAGACGCCCCACACTCCAGGGCTGCCAGCGCAGGCCCCTTTCCATCCCCGTGCCCCAGCTGCCGCGGATGGCCGAGCGTCCACCCCCGGGCAGCTCGGCGAACAAAGACCCTCTCGGGGTAGCGATCGGGACTCTCTCGCTTACCTCTAAAGCCGCGGCCGTCCAGGAGGCCACCAGCACCAACAGCGGGCAAGCTAAATGCGGTAGCATCGCGCTCGGCCGGCAGCGAGGGCTCCAGAGTCCGCCTGTAATAATCCGCCCGGCTGCTTGGCGAAGCGTCCCCGCCTCTGCGCTGCTGCTGGGGAATGCAACTGAGCTGCAGGCGGCGGCGGCGGCGGCACCAGCCGAGCTCCGGGGAGGAGAAGGCGAGTCAGCTGATAGCCCAGCCCACCCAGACCAGCGGCGGCAACAGCGGCTGGCCGGCCTCTGCAGGGACCCCTAGCGAGTGCCCCGCGCAACTGCAGCCTCCCCCCGAAGGCGCCTGCATAATAGAAGCGGAGCCCGGCGAAGGGGGCGGGGGTGCTTCGGCGAGCAGGCGGCGGCTGTCTGAGGGCTGTCTGCTCGGGCCGTCCCTCTTGCACTTCCACAGGGGACGGGCATCCCCCCCCCCTGCAGAATGCGCCTTTGGACTGAGCCAGCCCTACCTGGCGGCTGTTCCTTGCCCTGCGCAAAGATCAAACCAGGTAGCGTCTTTGGCTGGGGAAATTCTCACCGCAAGCATAGGAATGAGCGTTTTATCGGTAAGATGCACAGAGAGGGAGAACAACCTTGCCAAAAAAAGGAGAGAAGTGCATCTAAAAGGGCAAAGTGTTCTCTTTTCGGGAGGCCCCGCAAGAACTATGAAAGGGCCCCCCTCCACGTGCACACAACACAGATTTAGACTACCTATACCACGAAGCAGGCTTGTGTGTTTGACAGGCCTGTCAAAACACACAGACTTTTCTCTAGGACTCTTCATCAGGCCTAAAAGATTTGGGAAGCCCTAAAGTTGGCAGAGCATTAAAGATAACCTTCCTCATCCCTTTTTCGATCTTTTTGTAAAAGGATGCAGATTTCTCATCTGCAGATCATCTCCTCTGTATTTTCTTTTGATCTGTTTGGAATTCTTGCATTCCCCACGGAATCCAGGACTGTTACGGTTTTAAAAACTCCCCGACCTGTTCCCCAAATGCCAGCCCACAAAGAAAGAAAGGAAAAAGATGAAGGACATTGCAATTTGAGAGACTTTGACAGATATAGGTTTGGAGACTGGAGGGTGTTTTACTGAAACATCTGTGTTGTTGTGGCATCATTTCTGGGGGGAGCACTAAAGTTCGTACCATTACAATAATTATTTCTGCCATATCACAATCTTCTAAGCTGTGCATGTGTGCACTGCATTTTCTGATTGTGATGCAGTCAGAGGGTGGGGGGTGGGAAGCCTGCAGAGGCCATTACTGCAGTGAATGCAGTTTGCATTAAGATGGTATGCCTTGTAGAAAGGTGGAGAATAACCAAGCGTGGTTTCCGTTGCTTATTCCCCCCTTTTTATTTTGCAAGGTTAGCCTTGTTCAGGAATCTGTGCCAGTCTATGTATGCCTAGGTGCTTGCCAGTGTCAGATTTAGATGAAGAAATGGCTTTGAACTTCTAGAGCAGCATTTTGAGGTGCAGATGTTCCTAATTGACTCTTTCATTTGCTGTCTCTGAAGTACATATCCAAATGTAACTGAGAAAACCATTCTAACTCTGGTCATGGTTAGAATATTGCCAGTGTCATTAATTGCTCAAAAGGAGTATTAAAGCATGCCATCTAAGTACAGCATTCTCTCTTCTTAAAAAGGGGATTGAAGTAGTATGACAGAGTGGTTAGAGTATCAGACCAGAGCTAGAAAGAAGAGCAGGGCTCGAATCCCCACTCTGTTGTGAAGCTAAGGTGCCGAGATTCTGAAATGCAGACACTGGAAACTTGGCATGCATATGAGGAGCTCCCTTGGGCTGTGCTTTTTGGAATTATTTTGATTTTCAAATGCATTGATTTTAATTAATTAAAATGTATCTAATGCAGGTGAACCATGCAGTAACATCTTCAATCGCAAGGAGCAGACTTTCCTAACTAGCATGCAGCTTTGTGATGCGTAGTGTTTGAAACTATGGACGATTATTTGAGGGACAGAGTTACATATCTGCACATTGTCCTCAGCTGTGGGGCAATTTGAGGTGTGTCCATGAATAAGTCATGTGATTAACTTCCACTTCAGAGCCTGAGCCTAGACAACTATCATGTTCAGCCATGAAGAAAGTTACAATTTCATGCCAGATCCTCTAGTAATACCAGTAGAAGAGGAAGATTTTGCTTTACCTTTATTTTACAAATGTGTTTTGACAAAAGTGCTTACAATGAAAATTATAATATATTGATAGCAATCAATTTAAAAATAAAACATAATGGGTATTTTTTCTTCTTTACAGATCTATGGCTGTATTTACAAGTATTTTTTTAAACTTTATTTTATTTTTTTGCATTTCTGCCATTTTTATTTATTAAAGTCTTTTAAGGCTACTTTTCAGCAATAGTCTCAGAGTGATGTACGATAACATTTAAATATAAAAATGCATTGCTTAGTCCATTGCCTAGTCTGGTGCCTTCCCAGATGTGTTGAACTGAAGTTCCTATCCCCAGCCAACAGTCAATGGTCAAGAATTCTGGGGGTTATAGTTCAAAACATCTGGAGGCCACCTGGTTTGGAAAAGCAGGCTTATAGAATATAAATTCAGTTTAATATGGCTTACTCCACCTTCTTTTCATGACAATAACATTTGCAAATGACACATCCCAGATATGCAGACTGATCCTATGAATGTGTACTTGAAAGCAATCCTACCGGATTCAGCTGGGCTTACTTCCAAATGTTGAACAGAGAGCAGCAGTCTATTGAGGTATTTTAATTAGGACAAGCAAATTTGCCTTTTGATTTAACTCGTAATAACAGGGTAATCTGCAACATGTTCATGTTGTTCTAGGTACCACTGAATGCAGTGCAACTTATTTCTGAGTAACTGCCCAAAACTGTGACTCTGAAAAGATATCTGTTTTGCTGTCTGGTCTTTTTTGTCCAAGAGGCAAAGATGTCTTCATTTAAGTATCTTTCTCATATAAGCTGGTCTGTTGGGACAGGTGCTGTTCTTATTTTCTTGTACTTTAAATTGTGGTTTAATGTGTTTGTTGTATGGTTTTTAAACTTTTTTTCATTTTCAATTTTGTTCCTATTATTGTTAGTTTTCTTGAGCCCTATTTCCTTAGTGAAAAGGCCAGGTATAAATCAAATCTATAAATGCAGCAGACTCCCTGCCTGAGCTGATGGAGATTGTCTCAGGCATGAAACTGAGGGCTCCCAGGATGATGGTCCTGGGCAACCTCGATAGTCATACCAAGGCAGTCTTGTCAGGGGCAGCTCAGGATTTCATGGCCGCCATGACAACCATGGGGCTGTCTCAACATGTCACTGGCACAACCCATATAAAAGGTCACACGCTGGACCTGGTTTTCTCAACTGGGCAGGATGATGGGGATCTGAGAGTAGGGGTGGTGGTGGTTGCCATCAATCCAATTGTCATGGCCAGTTCACTTCCCCTTTAATCCCCTTTTCCCCTCTGGACCCATTAAGTTGGTCCACCCCTGGAGTCTATTGGACCCAGAAGTCTTCCAGTGGGCTCTGAGGAATTTTGCTGCTGGCATCATTGGCAGTCCTGTCAACACTCAGATCACCCAGTGGAATGAGGAGTTGACCCAGGCAGTTGACACGATCACTCCCATCTTGGCAAGCTTCCCAGTACACACCAGAGCTGCATACTGCAAGCTGCTACAGTTCAGGTGGAGGAAAACTCAGAATGAATCTGACCGAATGCAGCTTAGTGTCCACTATCAGGCTGATTCCATGATGGTGAGGGATGCAAAGGGGTCTTCCATGGCATCATCGAGTTGTTGTCCTGTAGAGACCTTCTAGGAAGTTTTACACTCTAGCCCAAGAGGCAATACCATGAGAGGCCTGCTGTGACAAGTTTGTGCAACACTTTGAGGTAAAGACACTCAGATTTGTCTCGAGTTGGACACCGCAGTTATCCCACTGTTATCAGCAGAAGCGTCCAGCGCATCATCTGGTCCAATCTTATTGGATGAGTTTCAGCTACTGCAGCCTGAGGACATGGTGCTGGGTTATGTCTGTGCCACAACTTGTTCACACAACCCCTGCCAATCTTGGCTAATTGAGAGATCGAAGTAGGAGACTCATCCCTGGATCCAGGAGGTTGTGGATGCCTCCTTGAGAGAGGGAGTGGTGCTTGCCCCCTTAAAGGTGGTGGTGGTTACACCACTCCTTAAAAAGCCACATCTGGATCCAGACAGTGTAAATAACCCATAGCCAATATTCCCTTCCTGGGCAAGGTACTCAAGAGAGCTATGTCTGGGCAACTCCAAGCGCTCTTGGAGGAAATAGATTATCTAGATCCACTTCAGTTGGGCTTTAGGCCTGGGTTTGGAATGGAAACTGCCATGGTTGCCCTGTGCAATGACCTATACTGGGAGAGAGACAGGGAGAGTGTGACCCTACTGATTCTCCTGGATCTCTCAGCAGCTTTCAATACCATTTACCATGGTATCTTTCTGGAAAGGGTGGCCAGATTGGGAGTTGAGGGCAGCATTTTGTTGTGGTTCCACTCCTACCTTGTTGACCATTTCCAGTTGGTGGAGCTGGGGGACTTTTGTCCTGTGCCGTGGCATTTGTGCCATAGAGTGTCACAGGACTCCATTCTGTCCCCATCTACCTGAAACCACTGAGTGGGGTCATCCAGAGGTATGGTCTGAAATGTTATCTGTATGCTGATGACACTCAGCTCTACCTCTCATTTTATCCAACCCAGGTGAGGTGGTAACTGTCCTGAACCAGTGCCTTGGCTCAGTAATTGACTGGATGAGGACCAATAAGCTGAAGCTCAATCCAGACAAGACGGAAGTTCAATTGGTGGGCAGTCCATCCAACTGGAATTTTTTCAACCAATCCTGGATGGGGTTGCACTCCTAAAGGATAAGTTTCATAGCTTGGGGGTGCTGCTGGACCCTGTGCTCTCACTTGTTTCTCAGGTGGCCTTGGTGGCCAGGAGCACCTTCTATCCACCTAGACTGATTTTCCAGCTATGTTTCTACTTAGAAGAGCAGAGCCTTGTTATCCATGCACCTGGTAACCTCTTGTCTGGATTACTGTAATGCAGTCTATGTGGGGCTGCCTTTAAAGACGGTCCAAGCACTTCAATTTATCCAAAACAGAG